CCATTTTGAATAATATTGCATGAGTTCCTTGTTTTTCAATGCAGCAAGTATTCCATTGTGCGAATATACCACAGAGTATTTTAACCCCAATGTGCTATTCTACAATTCAGCCTTGCTAATTTCTTATCACTGGTGAATAGTCTCTTTCTTGCCTGTAAAGCTGAATTGGCCTGGGACTTGTCTTAATCAATATAATATAGTAGGTATCACTGTAACTTTCAAACTTTTACCTCAAGAGACCTGCACATTCTATACTCTCTGCTTACAAATATGGTCCTTGGACCCCAGATACCACGCTGTGAAGAAGCTTAAGTATTGAGGAAGAGAGACACACATAGAGAAGTGAGGAATTGAGTTGAAAGCAAAAACCAGAGCACCAGATATATATGATCTTTGTTGAAACATGAACCTGAACCACTCCATGAAGCTCTAAGAAAGCTAAAGTAGACATGTCTTCTTTGACATGCGCTGCCTGAACTGCAAACCCACAAAACTGAGAACAAAGTTTGTTTTTTCAAGCTTAGGTCTTCCGCAAAAATCTGCTGAAGGAAGGACTAATACCTTCAAGGAACTGCTTAAGTGATCTGCCAGAAACTAAACTCTGAGACTTCTTGGGATCTCCAGTTCTTTTACTTTTATGGTAAAATAATTACTACATTATAGAAGTGAGTATACCTGACTCTGAAAAGTTACAATTCTATGCCAAAGGAAAGATGAGTCATCACAAGAAGGCTAGAGAACCAGCAAGGGCAACTGCAGGAGCTAAAAATCTGAGACTCACCAAGTCTGAAGCTTAGTTCATATGAACTTCAAATAGGAATCAGAACTAGCAAGCAGGCCAGCCCAAGTTCAAGCCCTTTGCTCTACATTTCATAATCAGCACAAAGTACCTCTATCTTGGTGGTAATAAGCTTGAACCACACGTTTTTTCTCCCCTCTAAAAAATGACAAACTGAGAATGACTTAGGAAAAGGGAGCATAGCAAATTCTTGAAAATACTATATATTGGTTGTTGTTGTTGTTTTTTCTTCAAATCATGAACATTTCTTTCTGTCTAGCTTCCTTTCCCTATCGGGTACTTCTAAGACACAAGGCTGCTTCTCCTGATACAAAGAACAACTTATTACACAGTCTTGGCATAATATTCTATCTAACTGGATGGTATTAGTTGGATAGTACTAGTTGAAAAGTTTGAACTTCCAGGTTTAACGAAAGAAGTGATAAGTGTAAAAGTATAATTGGAAAAACAAATTTGAACTGAAATTATGCATTCCATGAGAGCTAATTTGTTGAGAATCAAGTCATAGAGTAAATACATATCTGGTGGCAAGGGTGGGGAGGTGGAGTCATTCAAAGTATTGATCTTAAGGTAGCCACAGAAGTAATGGGTAGACATAGACAACTGAGACTAGTTATTCCATCTTTCTCACACATGTTATTTCCTGTATCACAGAGTCAATAAAGTTCCATCCCAACAATCCTGGTGAATGTTTTCATTGCACTATCCAGTACATAGTGCCAATAAGAAGCTCCAGGTCTCACAGTTTCATGCATTTTTGGTATTTATAAGTCAGTTTGCAACAATAGGCACACACACACACAAATATACACACACATATATATATATATATATATATACACACACACACACACACACACACACACACACACACATACTTTTGTTAATAAAGACTGATAAGTATTATTTGGTTGAATCTAATTAAGGGTTGTAGCATGTATCAACACCAGTTTTCCTTCCAATTTAAACTCTAAACATTGCCCAGACCAAATCATTCTTCATTTTTCCACTGTGGCAACTTTGAACCAATTCTATCTCCAATCTCAATCAACTTCAGTCTTCCCAAGCTAAGACACAGATTGTGCTATAGATAATTGTCATTCAATCCCTATTTGTAAAATGAACCAATAAACTAATGGAATGAATAAATTGAATGAATTTGATAAATTAAATTTTAAAATTAAAAGATGAGTGATAATAACTCACCATACTGAGTATCTGTGCTTCTCTAGTTCTTCCAAATAAGACATTCCCTGTGAATAATCTTCAATTTCTTTAGTTTTCCCAAACATTAATTTTTTCTTTGTGGGATGATCAGTCAGGCCATGTTCCTTGTTAATTAAATAAAATAAATTAATATTAGTACCATAAGCTACATATGTATTGCCCATTATTAACATTTTCCTCAAAATTATTTGTAGAATCATTGATTGTCAAAAAGTATTTATAGCCATAAAGTAAAATTTTTGCACTGAAATGATGAACATTCCAGATTTTCTCCTGAATTCCCATTCTCATAATTGCTGAGATTTTGTCATATTAAATTGCTTAATTTCTAATGAACAGTTTCCGTAAATGTTCGTGGAATGAGAAATAAACATCATCATGATTGTGTATTTATATTAGTCACAATGACACACATTTCACTTACTGAAAGGATTAGATTCCCAAAACCAAGTGATTATTCAATGTTATGCAAAAATGAAAGATGATCATAACACATTGTAAAATGAAAGTTGACTATATCATTACATAACAAAATTATATCAATATATAATTGTGATATTTTATTATTTCATAACTGCCCAAATACTGAAATTTGTGGCCCAAAGTAACACACAAACTTAACCAACACAGCTAGCATTTTTACTCTTACCTTTTACCTCAGCATTGGTTACTGTCAGACTTATGTCCTTAATTCACAGAATAGCCAGATTGTAGATTTTTCAATATTGTAAATGTAGAGTATCAGACAATGAGATAGTGAATAAGTAATAAATATTTTGACCAAATGACAGACATGCTTCTTTCCCTACCATTAGGTGAAAACATAAAGGAAAAATAGTGTTTGAAAGAAGTTATAAATAATTGAGCTATGAGAAAAGCAGGTAGAGAGATTTCATAAACATCTAGCATTAAAGATAAAAAGTCATTAGGAATCTCTCTTCACCTTTGCCCTCCACTTATGATAAACATCTTAGTTCTATTATTATTACTAATAGTTCCTGTGTACCACAACGTGTAACTCTCAACACCATACATTTTAACTTACATAACTGCAAAACTAACTTACTACAAGATTGAGAGAAACATGTCATAGACGTATGATAATGGATCCAGAAATAATGTTTCTGATACAGTCTTCCAGAGTATGGCGGGTGACCAATGTGTCTTAGCAGAGCAGACCAGCCTCAGTAAGAAATTGAAAGAGCACTTAATCTTCTTCTTTGTTTTTTATTCCTTCTCAACTCAAATAGCTCAATTTTTACTTGTTTTATACATTAGACTCTTCGATAAGATTTTGTTAAAAAAATTGCTGCTATACAGTAGCTTGGATATTATTTGTATAGAAAAAGAAGAAATTTAGGCTTCACCTGCATCTAAAAAACGTTACTTGGTGATCTGGAGTAAATTCTGACTCGAAGTAATTCTATGTACAATTAAATAAAACACTATCTGATGCTGTGCACAGTCATTGCTAAGTTTGAAACCATTTTTATAAGTACCATATTAATCTATCTTACCGAGGATCCTCTCTTTTTTTTCTTTTTCTTTAATCCTCTGCTCTAAAGTGCTACTATCCAATCTTCTAAGGAACATTCCAAAGGAAGTTTATTCAAGAAAGATATGTTTGTTCCTCTAATCTTTACTCAAAACTCACTGCCTTTGAGCCAGACTCAACTCACAGCTGATTCTTCATTGTATTTTTGGGACTGTAAATAGCATGGGGACTATCTATCTTTTCCTACGGAGTCACTGGTGGATTTCAACAACCAGAGAGGTACAATCTGTGGATTATCAGTGCAATTCCACAAGGATCAAACTCACTATTTTTATGATAGTCCTTATCATATTCAACATTATTCACTCAAACCATAAGTAGTAAATTATATATATTTTTCTTTGGTTTTCCTTATTTATGGCTCAATGTTCAAATCATGTGAGGTGATTCAAAAGGCTAAACTTGTGTCAAGTGCAGCTTAATACTCAAAATGACATCTTTGCTTTTTAATGACTTAAAGAGGTCTTGTGCAGATTTGTAGAATACAAGATACCATTTTATTTCCTGACTGTTGATACCACAGGTATTTCTTAAGGTATTGAGTAAAATGCTGAAGGGATAAAAAAGTAGAACAGAGAATGTGAAGCAGACAGTCAGTGAGCTGTAAGACAGAACTTCAATGGAAACATCCTAAAAGAAAAAAAATCAGAGATGAAACATAAAGAAAATGAAGAAAACATTAGAATCATGTGGGATGACATCAAAAGGAAAAAGATATGCATGATTGGAATTTCAGAATATAAGAGGTACAAGAAAATGATTTAAAAATTGTGGAAAAGGTATTAGAAGAAAGCTTCACAGATTTCGTTAAGAAGAGGAAACCTATATTCAAAAAGGTCAGCGAACATCAAATAAACTAGATGCAAAAGAAACACAACAAGACACATGATAGTCAAATTTTCCAAAATAAAAGATAAGGACAGAATATTAAAAGCAGCACAAGAAAAACCAAGATCACCTACAAAGGAAAAGCAATCAGATTAAGTCCCAATTTTTCAGCCAAAACCAAGCAAGCAATGAGACAATAGGATGGCATATACAGAAAATTGAAAGATACTGAAGATATTATACCCAGAAAAGTTCTCCATCAAATATGAAGAATAAATCTTATCCTTTTCAGAAATAAAAGAACTTAAGGAATTTATGAAAACAAGACCAAATCGACAAGAACTTTTAAAGGAAATTCTTCACACAGAGACACAAAAGGCAAGTGGATGGACCATAGTAGCCAGAAACAATAAAAAAGAAACACAGAAAAATTGCAATGAGAAAATCCGGCCTATCAATAATCACACTTAATGTGAATGGACTAAATGCACCAATCAAGAGAAAAAGGGTAGCAGCCCATCAATATGTACAAGAATACATAGAAGCACACCTAAGAAAGAAAGACTCAAAATGAAAGGCTGGAAAAAATATATACAAACAACAACCACAAAAAAGCAGAAGTAGTAATACTAATCTCTGATAAAACAGACTTCAGAATGAAAATCACCATAAAATATCAGGAAGTGTACTATCTAGTGATTAAAAGCACAGTAGATCAAGAAAACATAACATTGGTGGAAATCTATGCCCCAAATGATAAACCAGCTAAATACATACAACTGTTAACAGAACTGAAGAAAGAAATAGCCCCATAATAGTAGCAGGATAATTTAACATGTAACTCTCACCAAAGGATTGGACAACTCAAAATAAATTTAACAGAGATGTCGAAGATCTAAACTGGATGTACAGACAACTTAAACTTGTGGATATATTCCACCAACTTGAACTTTTTCATGTATGCCAAGCACTGCACCCAACTAACTCTTAATTCACTTTCTTCTAAAGTGCACATGGGACATTTTCCAGAATTACATATTAGGGCACAAAGCAATCCTCAACAAATTCAGAAACATTGAAATAATACAAAGGATCTTCTTAGATCACAATGCCATAAAACTAGAAATTAACCAAAAGAGGATAAAGCTTATACAACCACCAACATGGAAGCTAAATAACAAACTTATAGAACACAAGTGGGTCTTAGGAAAAATAAAGTACAAAATAAAGTTTCTTAAAACAAATGATAATGAAAATGCAACAAAACCTCTGGAATGCAGCTAAGGTGGTCCTCAGAAAGCAGTTCATAGCAATAGGCAAAAACATTAAAAACGAAGAAAGTAGCAAAATTAATGATCTAACGCAACACCTTAGTCAAATAAAAAAAGAACAACAATCTAACCCCACAGCTTCTAGAAAAGAAAGGAAATTATAAGAACAAGTGTGGAGATCAATGAGATAGAAAACAGAAAAACAATTGAAAACTTCAACAAGATCAGGAGCTGGTTTTTTGAAAAGGTTGATAAATTGACAAAAAAATTGGTAAATTTAATAAAAGGGAGAAATAGCACAGGTCATATAAAGATTCCCCCCAAAAAAGAGTCCTGGACCAAATGGCTCCATTGCTGAATTCTATGAAACATTTAGAGAAGATTTATCACCATTTCTACTTATGCTATTTCAAAAAAATAAAAAAGAAGGAACATACTCTGAGACATTCTATGAAGCAAGCATAACCCTAATACCCAAACCAGGCAAAGATAATTCCAAAAGAGGAAACTACAGACCAATATCTCTCACGAACGTAGACTCAAAAATCCTTAAAAAAAAAAAAAATTGGTCATGACCAAGTGGGATCCATAAGAGGTATGCAAGGATGAATCAATATAAGAAAAACAATCAATCTGAGATTAAGTGTAGAAGGCCTAGCCTATAGTATAAAGAGACTGCCAAATACAGACAGAAACGAACAATACGGAGAGGATAAAATTGATAAATGGGACCTTCTAAAGATTAAATCTCTCTGCTCATCAGTAAATCTTTTTCAACAGGGTGAAAAGAAAACCTACCAACTGAGAACAGACATTTGGCAATACTGTCTCAGAAAAGGGTCCCATAGCAAAAGTTTACAGAATGCTCCTGGGCCTCTAGATGAAAAAGACTGACAACCCAATTACAAACTGACCAAAAGATAAACAGAAAAACTTTTTACAGAGGAAGATATTTGGATAGCCAACAGACACATGAAGAAATGTTCAAAATCACTGGCAATAAGAGAGATGCAAATAAAAAGAGCAATGAGACACAGTCTTACTCCAGTAGAAGTGGTAAAGTTTAGCAGGGTGGCAAGCAATAAATGTTGGAGAGGCTGTGGAGTAAAGTGAACTCTCATACACTGTTGGTGGGATTGTAAAATGGTACAACCACTCTGGAAGACAGTTTGGGGTTTCCCCAAAAAGCTGAACATAGAAATTCAATATGATCCACCTATTGTATTATTAGAAATACACCCCAAGAAAATGAGAACTGAGAAACAAACAGCTATCTGTACACCAATGTTCATAACAGCATTATTCACCATGAGAAGGTCATAGAAACAGCCGAAATATCCAACTACAACTGAATGGATTCAGAAACCGTGGTATAGTCTCAGAATGGAATACTAAGCAGCACTCAAAAACAGTGATTTTGAAAAATACTACATAATTTTGGAATCTGGAA